TGTGTGTGTGTGTGTGTCTCTGTGTGTGTGTGTGTGTGTGTGTGTGTGTGTGTGTGTGTGTGTGTGCGTGCGTGCAGGACGAGCCCCTGAACAACACACTGACGTTTGCACAAGGAGAAAAGCTACGCAACCGACCGCAGGGGTCAGAGGTCAGACAGGAAGTGGAGGAAGTGGTGAAGAGAGCCGAGTGGCATCGAGACGCAGCTGAGACGTTTCTGAACGCTCTGGAGAACATGGATGTGACATAGGTAGCGCGTCAATTCTCTCTCTCCCTCTCTCTGTGTGTGTGTGAAACAAAGCGACGGCGAGTGTTGCGCTTCACACTAGAGTTTACGGTACGTCAAATACAGGTGCGCTGCGAAAAATAGCACAGATCGCTTGACGGAGAGCGAAACTCTGAAACGCTCAGTCAGAGTGTTCGGCGAGTGTAAATATATCTAGGCTAAACTTATACTCAGCCTCCAACTCACACACTGGCGAGTAAAATCTGAGAATTTATTAGCAATTGGCTAATATTAGACATCATTTAGTCGCCAGAGTAAGATTTAGTCACATATGCGAGTGATTTACTCGCAATGTAGAGGGTTGTAATAAACACTTTGCTTATGTGTTTTTTTGTTGAGTATCATATTTGATCCATCAGACTTTTATGGTTCTGATACAGTGAGAATATGGAGGAAAAAACAGCTCAATATTATTCAGACTCAAACTGAGCAAAAATATGAATTTGCTGCAGATGCTGATATTTATGATGAAATTCTGATATTTGTGATGTAAATCAATGAGATCTTTATAACAGAACAGCAGATACTGACATAAAATGATATAAATATCAGTCTTCGCTCTATATCTCCAGTAATAAAATGAGATTGAAATGATCAATTGGTATCCTAAAAATTAGGATCCAGGATTAGGATTGACATATCATTAAAACTTCTTGAGTTGCAGGCATGCAAAACTTAGGGGAAAAACACAAAAAGTGCATTTCCCCATTTTTGAACGGTCACCATTGGCATATAATGCAACAAAGATTGCTAAAGTCACCAGATTTCACTAATAGAGCTCATCTCTGTGTGAAGATAATATAATGATACTGCCATCTTTCTGAAGTCACTTTCACCCTCCTGTGATTTGACTCTGAATCTCAGGTGAAAATTATACATTTGGCCCCCCCCCCCACCACCACAAAATTGTGCATTATTCAGTAAATATTCATGAGTGGCATTTAATATTTTGGCTTTCGTCATGATTTATGTTTCTTTTTTCAGAAAAAAAAAATTTGATTTAATAAAAAATTTTTGCTTTTTACTTCTGACTGTATTTAGGTTCCAAAATTAGTGTTCATTTGTGATTATCTTGATGAACAAAACATGTAAGAATCATAAACTTTTGTTGTTTAGCTGTAGTTTCAGAGGAGCAGGAGGGAGGAAACAGGAAGCACTGGACGAATCGTCTGCCGGAGACACTGCTGAACGCTCTCGCTCAAGCAGACATCATGGACTGCAGTACAGGTACACACACACACTCTCACACACACACACACACACACACACACGCACACACACATGCGCATGCACACGCACACGCGCACACACACACACACACACACACACACACACTCTCACACACACACACGTTCAGATGAGTCACGGCTTTGATCAGCTCGATTGATTTAACACTGATCAGTGTTTTCAGTGTGTGATCAGTATCAGATGGGAATGAGCTGAGATGTGTTGAACGACGTGCCGTTTGTGTTTCATGTCTCACAGAGGAAGAGGAGTGTGATGAAGATGAAGATGATGTGGAGGTGGATGAAGAGCGTCTGGAGCCTCGATCAGATGATGAAGACACGTGAGTGAGACGCACTGAGACAGAGACGAGACGTCTGAGAATCACTGAGACTGACCCTGCTTCCCTTCTTCTTCAGGAACTTTGAGGAGTCCGAGGACGAGCTGCGGGACGAGGTGAGCGACTCCATGAGGAACCTCCTCACCACACAGGAGCAGGAGCAGGAGCAGGAGCTGGAGGAGCAGACGGCACAGGAAACACAGCAGGAAGTGAACCGCAGATCAGAGGAAGTGAGGGAGGAAACGCAGCCACCCGCTCATGATGAGTCTGGGAAAAACACTGCAGTGAACTGATCCTGCGTTTTTCTTTCTTTCATTCTATGTGAATATCTGTTAAACTGTAATTTATTTCTGTGATGCGCAGCTGTATTTTCAGCATCATG